ATGAAGGAGAGCTACTATGTGTAGACTGTTTTCTGATTTAAGACACAAAGGATAGTTACTATGTGTGGACTGTTTTCTGACTTAACTTACATGAAGGAGAGCTACTATGTGTAGACTGTTTTCTGATTTAAGACACAAAGGATAGTTACTATGTGTGGACTATTTTCTGACTTAATTTACATGAAGGAGAGCTACTATGTGTAGACTGTTTTCTGATTTAAGACACAAAGGATAGTTACTATGTGTGGACTATTTTCTGACTTAATTTACATGAAGGAGAGCTACTATGTGTAGACTGTTTTCTCATTTAAGACACACAAAGGATAGTTACTACTTGTGGACTGTTATCTGATTTAAGATGTATGAATGAGAGCTACTGAATGTGAAGTGTTTTCTGATTTAAGACATATGAAGGATATCTTCTACATCTGGACTGTTTTCAGACTTAACACACACAAAGGATAGTTCCTACATGTAGACTGTTTTCAGATTTAAGACAAAGTACAGTTACTGCATGTAGATGGTTTTCTGATTTAAGACATATGAACGTGAGCTACTACATGTGGACTTTTTTCTCAGTTGAGACACACAAATGATAGCTGTTACATATGGACTATTTTCTGATTTAAGACACATGAAGGAGAGTTACTGTATGTGGACTGTTTTCTGATTATTACAACAGTGAATCAAAATTATGGTTAAACCAACTCTTACAAAAATAATCAATTTATCAAAATTGGGGTTTCCAAGACAACTCATCTCCATACAATGAAATACTATTTATCTTGCATGTCTGCCTATGACACTTGCATACCACTAGCCTGGTTCTAACTTCCACCTAAATTCATGTGTTTAGCATGAACTGAATTGGTGCATGATGAAGTCATCACGTGACAATAGCTCTCTACCAGTAGGTGGGCAACACAACCTCCATGTGTATTAACTTCCCCTATACAGTTGCACTCGTGATATCTTTATTCTATTCTTTGGCATTTCATTTGACAGATGTACAAAATTTCTCATTTTAGTTCAATTTGATGAGATTTGAATTTGTTAGTAAAACTTTGGTTTTCTTATTTTTGGCTTTTGTTTCAAAAGCTTTAATTCATTTCATGATTTCTCAAGTGATGATGACTTCTATTTATTCTTTGTGATTGAAGAAGTTACACAAACATGTTCTATTTCTACAATGGCTTCTGAAGGCTTATTAACTGTTGGAGACATTGCAAAACCCAGATATGATGCCATTCATGGAAATAATTTCTCAAATGGCCTTTAATTATAGTAATTGCAAGGCAAGAAGGGTAGGAGGCAATCTCATTAAAATTTAGAATAGGATCCAAAGGCAGTTTTAATAACATGCAATTTGTCCAAATACAAAATTAGTAAAAAAAAAAAACTTTATTTTTTTTTCTCAATGATATAATCAACCTTAGTACTCACAGTGAATTATGTTTTTACTTTACAATTCACACAACTGATCATCTACTACAACAATGAACTTTGACCCCATAAATCACCCATTATCTATCACAACAACAACAGCAAAGAAACATCAAAAGTAAATTAAACATAGCTTTTCCACATCCATGTAAATATTCAATAAACATTTAAAACAAAATAAAAACTATATTATTAAGTAAACACTTCCACATGTTTAAAAATATATTATTGCTCCACTAAAGCCAAAACATTACCATGTCTATACTGCCTAAAATGCCCTTGAAACAACATGGTTCCAACATCTTCTAGGTAGTAAAAAAAAAACCTAATGCTTCAGATGAGTCTTAATCAAAGTTTTATACAGGAATATACAATACATTATTGTTCTTAAGCTCAATATTCTTATAAATAAAACCAATAACTTGTTTGCTCTTTTTATATCTAAACATTCAAAAGCCTTTAGAGGTTTATAAATAATTACATCTAAATTCACAACACTAATGTTTCTCTTACACAAGGAGCAAGTTATTTTCACACAAAATGTATAACTTCATACTTAATTATTAAGTTAAAACTCATTTTCCATGGTCTAAAACTGTTAAGGTCCTTTTGAATAATAGGAGATTTTTCTAAAAAGTGAGCTGTTAAAGCTTTATTAAGATGGATAAAAGAACAGTTTAAAAAATTTAAGTTACACAACATTTCTTAAAGACTTAAGTTCACTGATGCTGCCAAGCAAACTTGGCAAAACACTGTATAACTTATTTTTAAACCTCATTCTTTTATCCCTTTTTAGCCATTTTAATAAAGTTTTAGGCCAAGATTTGTCATTTAATACATCTACATCCAGAATCAGCTCTTCTTAGCATCTCAGTATCATCAGTTAATTTTGTAACTTTACATATTATTAAACTCTCATTATCATTTCCTTTTGTGTATTAGTTGAATTTTTCACACATTTTGTTCAGTTACAGTTTATTAGATTTAAAAAAATTATTGACTAGATGTTGAATTTGTGCATTTACTATTTTCAATTTCAATCTGTCTAAAAGATCCAAAAAAAAAATACATTCACACAACAGACGTTTTAACACTAAAAATATATTTAATTAGCATCTGATGGTCTAATTTAATATAAGAAGCTCTAAATGAAAATTTTCTTTATTAGTTAAGATGTACAAAAAGTACTAGCTTTAATATCACTTTAATCTTGAGGAGAGCTATTAGTATATCATTATTACATTATAGACTTGCAAAGTGTCTTTTTAAACAAAAGGTAATACTAATAGTGACATTAAAACTTCACTCAGAAGGAGATGCATTTTTCTAAATTAAAACTTAATAAATTATATCTGTTAAGTACAAAAGTACCAAAAATATTCTTCCAGCATTAAATTAAAATCGTTGATAAATTATTAGCTTTCGAATAGCCCAAACTTCCGTTGTAAGATTGATTTGACAAAACTTATTTAAAGTTTATTAGTCTCACTTTCAGTGGAGTAAAACAAACTTTTTAAACTTGCAAGATGACTCTCTGGCATTACATCGAGAACGAAAGGCAGAGCTGGTTTCACTATTATTAGTAGTATTACTATTAACTTAAGTTAGTAGTATCGGTAAGAATTACATAAAATTTACAGTTTTTCATAAATTTACTCAGTTTAAGAAAACTTACCTTTTATTAAACACAGTATAGTTGTTAAATCGGTTTATTCTGTATTCCGTATAAGTTACAACGAAAAAGAAACACAGTAGATGGTTATAGAACAACTTTTATCCCTAAAATCCCCATTTATTCATACTATCTAGCTAACATTAGCTGACAAAACAACCGAAGCTACCAAATCGTTATTGCGCGTGCGTTGAGATTTCTGTTCCGTCAAACACGCCTGCATATCTTGCCATGTATGGTGTGACATATTTGCTACCGATGGCGTTTTACGGTGATTCTTTCAATTTTACACCTAAGTTAATGACAGTATGTTTCATTTATTTACACACTCTAGCACAAAGCTTATATACTTGTTTTACTAAAATATTTCCTCTAAAATCCTCATCATCAAACACGTTAGTCGAAAGTAAGTAAACCCAAAGCAGTAGATAGGTGGCGCAAGGTACACGGCTGGAAAATTCAAGAGTGGGAGAAAAGTAGAAACGTGGTGGCATGAACGACGGGGTTCCGTTCTCTTATGCAATTATAGGAGTAACTCAAAAATAGGCGTGATTTTATCAGTCTTGACAAGTATACATCCTCTTGTTCTTTATATATACCTAACGCAATATATATTTATATTAAATGCTAAAATGTACGGTTGAAATCTGTAATGAACAGTTCTGTCGTGTTTCTTAAGTGGAACAACGTTACGGTTTTCGAGATAAGACCTCCCCCCCCTCCCCCATCAACACAATGAGCTTGTTTTTTCACTTACTAACTCCACATATTAATTTACTTACAAATGGAACATTCTGTGTCAGTAAAGTAATTTTCTCTGTCAGTTACATCCTTGTCAGAGCAATAATTAATAACCTTAACATAACAGCAGTTTGGAGATATTCTTTTATATAAAAATCTTAAGATATGTTTATATTTTCTTTAGATTAAAGCTACCTCTACAACTAGGTGTGCGTCAACTAAAACCACACTTTGACTATCCAACCAGTTAATGAGTTCTATAACAATTATTTTGATGTCAGATTCCATATAAATGCAAATCACTAAGGAGGCGTTCAAATATAACTTAACCCTTGGGTGGGAGGGAGAGAGCTATCCTGAGCGTTACTGAATGTTACGAGGGGGGAGGAGTATCGTTAAGTATCACGTAAAAAAATTTTAACCAGCTTAAAACTCATATTTCAGAGGAGAAAGACATACTTCTATTCAATTCATATTGTGTTAATGGTCGTACAATATAACAGTTTTTTTATTGTACGTCACTTTTTTGCGTGTGGTTGGAACTTTGGAAAATGTTCGTTACAAATCAGCGTTTGTAATAAATTGGATTTATTTTATTTGTTATGGTTAAATTGGGACGGAACGACACTCCGCCTCTTGAGTAATCAATCCATCAGCGTTCCTGGTCTTCTGATTGGAAGAAAAATGTGCCAATCAGAGAGTGTATATTCTCTGTTGTACCACTCTCCTATTACAAAGTGGATCATACACACACACACACACAATAGTTTTACCTCTTTCAAAATCCTAATTTATCCATTCTTGATGAGCACAAAGCTGCACAATGGGCTATCTGTGCTCTTCTCACCATGGGTATCGAAACCCAATTTATAGCGTTGTAAGCCCTCAGATTTACTTCTGTGTCACTAGGGGGCAGCAGGGTGCGTTTTGCAAATTTGAAATGTTGTGTACGTGAACTATACAAAATAGTAATGTTCCCTATGTCTTGATTTTCGCTGTGTAATTATAATTTATTACATGGATTGAATTTCATATTACTGCATTAAGACACGCTTTAATTAATTCACAATGGTACAGGAGTTTATTCCGAGGAAGAAATTAACTATTGAAAAAAAAAATCATGCACACACAGAGTATATTCACATTTCAACATACATTAATTTTGTATTCATTAGACTGTATTGTATTATATGACATCAAATTACATATGCTCATTATATAAAATCTCGTGATGACTCAACGGTAAGTTCCTGAAGTTCAATGCTAAAATCTGAGTTTTGATTCCTGTGATGGACAAAGCGCAGATTGCCCAATATGTAGCTTTTAGCTAAAAAAAAAAAGAAGAGCAAATCAACTCATCATATAGACGGATGGTGCATTGCTAAAACTTTTCCGGTAGTTCTATTCTTTGCAGAAGAAGACTCTTATTTTAACTAATCAGGAGACTGCTTTACTATCACTCAAAGACCTTCTTCGTTATTTTACTCCTTATATCAATGAAAAAAAAAAGCCTATCCATAAGTGGTAGCAAAAATTCCCCGATGGCTTGGTGGTAAATGTGCAGATGACTTTTATTATTACTAACCATATTGTTACGACAGCGGAGATCATGTGACGTTAGTAACACGTCATGGACTTCTCGAACGTTACGTCCCTTCCTGAATGCTCGAGAGCCTACTAGATATGCGGTAGTCTTGTATATATAAGACGGTCAAGACGTGACGGCAACAATGTAATGCTGTGTAATTAAACTGCGGACAGAAAGAGAGAGAGTATTGTTGAGTCGAGCACGTGAGACGTTCGTTGTGAATTATAGCGCGACTGTGGAAATTAAGTGTATTGCAAAGTTGTATTCAAAAAGAATAAACCAGTTTTATTTAAGAAAGGACTTGTGTCGCTAAAGTTTCATCAGAAAGAATATTTTACGGAAAATTAACTAACGAACGGAGGCGTAACAATATTATACTTGTTGTTTGTTTTCGCTAAATTAATATATCATGTATTTGAAACATTAAGAAAAACACTATCAGAACTAATGGTGTTAATATCTGGTTGTGTTTGTTGCCCGTTTTACCCTATCACTATAAATTCTCCAAACTGTATTATTACCTTGAAACAGTAACATTTTACCTTCTGCTGACTAAAACAGAGGAACCGACTGATTTAAAATAAAGCACTGATCTACAATATTTTAAAACAAAGAACTCTCAACACTTCAGCTTTGCAGTTAAACTGTTAACGAAAAAGTGGATATAAATAAAATAAAAAAGGTAAATAGAACGTTAAAGCTGAAGGTTAATTTTTAACACTACAAGTCTTCATTCAAAAAGAACAAAAATCTATTTAAAAACCAACTATACATTCCATACCTCATCAGAAAATCTCATATGTATCTTAGCAAATCTCAATCTCAAAATAAAAACTATCGAAAATAAAGAAAACATAGTAATATACACAAACATTCTCTCCAGGCCCACGCGACTGAGGGCCTTTCTCAGGTCAACAGGGGTGTTATAGACCCCAAGGCATTACCCTGTTTACCACGAGAAACAATCACTTTCGTTATCTTCAATTTATCATATGCTACAGTCAGTGGCAGAACAAGCAGAATTTCATATGAATTAAGTCAAGGTTTAAATTTCGACTTTAGGAGGGCAGGGTTCAAGATGTTAAGCTGGAATGTTAATCAGTTACCTCCTTTAACTGTTTTTCGATATATTTCTTTAGTTTCTTATTGTACTGGGCACGTGATTGAAGATCGAGAAGTTATTTTTTTTTTGCTTTCCCTTCAACTGCTAAACTTTTCTGAATTATTTTATCTCATATGTACAACATTAACGTTATAATTTGAAAAATCGGCTTTATATATTGTTTTGGTTTCTAAAAATGCATTTTATATTCGTAGTTTAAACCCGGACAGTACGTTACTTTTCGGGATGTTTAGATTTCACTTCTAGAAAATTTGGATTCTCCAAACGGTTAAGGAAAGCCTCAGTTATTAGAATTGTTTACGAGAATCCAGAATCACTGAGTTTTATTTAAACATAATAATATATAGTAATTGTTTTGTAAATCTGACGGAAAACTTGAAATATTTAAAATATAAACCAGGAACCATTCAGGTATAATTTGTGTGATTTTAATTAACGGAATAGAAATAAAAATTGGATATAAGATGGAAATTTTGTTAAGAACTCCAGAAAATAGAGAGAACCACCAGCCTACCTATCTTTTGAGATACTTATTTAAAGAAGATTGAAGTGGGCATTGTCCCTCCCGGAAGGACAGCGGTAAGTATACGAACTTACAACTCTAAAATACGAGGTTCGATTAACCGCAGTGGACACAGCAGATAACCCTATATGGCTTTGCTCTGAGAACAAAGAAAGAAGTGGACAAAATAAGAAACAAATTCTGCAGAAAACTCTTAAGAAAGAATTTTTCTAGAAAATGATAGTAATAATGAACTTAGTATGAATAATAAAGAGTTTGAATGTTTCTAATCATAGATTGGTTCAATGTTAAACATTATATTACTCAAGTATAAATTTATAGTAGAGACGGCTGGTATGGGTATTAAAAACTTTAAAATAAAGCACAAGAACAACGTTTCGACCTTCTTAGGTCATCTTCAGGTTAACAAAGACAGTTTGAAGCTGACCGTTACTGGGCATATGTCTTAGGGAGGAAAGTATGTTATCAAAATATTTTTTTTTTCAGTGTACCAACATACACTTCTCATTCGAACTAACGTCTTTGCGAATTTTTAAAATATACGTTTATATTAAAGCATTAAAACGCTCGTAGTTGAAACTTATTTCGGGATAGAGTAAGTTGTCAAAAGGCGAAACTCTGAACTAAAAATAACATAGAATATTCATAAGATCATTGATACCCAAACATCTTTTACAGTTACTCAGATAAAATAAATGGTTGAGTGATCGAGCTTTATAAAAACGATTCGCCCCCCAGTGTCACAGCGGTATGTCTGCGGACTTACAACGCTAGAATCCGGGTTTCGATACCCGTGGTGGGCAGAGCACAGATAGCCCTTGTGTAGCTTTGTGCATAATTAAAAACAAACAAACAAATAATAAAAACGATTTGCTTAAGTAATGCAATGTTATACTGCTGCAGGTACGAAACGTAGTGCCATGAGAGAAAAACAGGTTAAGCATCTTTATATTAAGTTCTCAATGAATTCCTGCCCATTCGACGGTACAATGCCGCCAATAGGAAACATATGAGTGAATATATCTATTAGAGCTCTTTCAGGAGGAATACTATTCATATAGCAACAACAAAACAAGGAGGTATAAAACCCGGGGAAAACCGATTTCGAAAACAACTGCCTATAGCATAGTGAATAGCATATACAAGGATATATCATCCCAGTCATATGAACATGTAAAATTACCGAAACAGAATCCCACCACACTCACGATTTCCTTTACTGTTTTCAAAGTTCACAGGATGGTTGCCCAGGAATATCACCCTTTACTCAGAAAGTTATTGCTAACAAGTTACACAAATCTTAATCAACCGTGAATAAGATATAACACTTTGCAAAGGAGAAATAGTATTTTGTTACAACAATGGATGAGGCTTGGGTGTACATGAACAACTGCAGCAAGAAACAGGCGGTTTACTACAATCCACGAGGTGATAAGGACTTTCTCAAACGGTACAGACAACTCACCAAGTTTAAGGGGAGCTTTATGATTGCCACATCTTTCTCGTGTAATTTGAAATTCAAACTCCGACACAATAAAGCATTGTAATAAAATAATGTGATGGTGAATCTTACTATTCGATTAGAGTAACCCAAGAGTTGGCGGTGGGTAGTGTTCATTAGCTGCCTTCCTTTTTTTTGCCTATCACTTATAAATTAGAGACAGCTAGCGCAGATAGCCCTTGAGTAGTTTTGGGCGAAATTCAACAAACAAACAAACGGTTGACTTGTATACTACTTGCTGATTTTTAGCATCTGATTTGCTTAAACGTGCATGTGTACATAAGAGGTCATGTAAAAGGTTTATCAAGATGTATAGCCTGATATTGACTTGCCATCCTTTGCAAAAGCCAACTGTTATAATGGAAATTGCAGTGTTGAGTAATAATGCGGAATCCTGGCCATCAGAAGGAGCACGATGGGTGCATGAAATTTGAATAGGTCCAAGTTCAATACGAATCTTTAAAACATCGTTCTTATAAAGTGTGATTAATCCTCCGTCTGATATTAACCATAAAGTATTTATTAAACAGTTATGATAATAAGTTTAAAAACCATTATAGAAATTTCTGTTACGACAATAATAATTGATACATTGTAGGGTATTAGCTCTCTTTTATATTAAAAAAAAAAGCTTTATCTTGTAACAGAGTTCCGAATACTTCTGTAAACAAATTTCAAGAAATAACACGGAAGTGATTGAATTGTTGGCCTAGATATACTTTGGCAGCATTGTGTATTTTTTTTTCTGCCATTTCTGCATACAACTTCTCTTTAGGAAATAATAAATCGGTATGATGTGACGACCAGTAACTCTGTAGAAGAAAAAAGGGAAGCCTTAAACTAGAAAAGTTTTGACCCATTTTTGGGTACATTACATTGGTTTTGTTTTGTAGTTAACAGGGGCCTTGGCAGTAAAGTAAACGAGGTAAAAACCTAAGTTGATAAAATAGTTTATATAAACCGCAAAGATTATTGGTTGTTTTGTAATCATGTTGATGTCTTGAAAAACGGTTTTAAAAATTAAATTAAATAGCTATGTATATTTTTTAAGTTTGAAAAAGAAATGATCTGAAACAGACTTAAATGTGTTCGGGGAACTTTTGAATTACATTCTTTGGGTAGTACACAGTTCTAAGAAGAACAGACATCAAAATATTTAATTTAATAATCTTTTCTTTCCATAAAAGATTATCTTGGCACACTATATATATGTATATATATAAAGAACTATATATATGTATATATATAAAGAAAGTTATATATATATTTACACTGTTATCTTAACGTTATATTTATTTAAAATGAAAAAACAAGAAAACATTATTCATATGCATGGCCAATGATGAAACTAAAGAAACCACAAAACTAATTTCTGAGTGCATTGAAAACTGTTAACTTTGTTGTCAGGAATTTTTCCAGATAATCTCGTTTCTTTGTTTCTGTGATACGAAGGTTTACTTGAAATAAAAATACATGTTTCCATTTTAATCATCATCATCATAATATATTATTATTTTATCATTGCCAGATGGCACCACATTCACATTGACATCCATATTTTGTTTTCCTGGTGTTGGGGTGTGACAAACATTTTGCTTTTACATGAAATTTGTGAAGTAAGTAAAATTGTTATGTTATATTTGTAAGTATAGTGACCGTATTGACAAAATATATTCGTTAAAACGTTAAAGTTTCATATACAATTTCTTAATATTTCTTGGTAACTAGATGGTGATTAATTATAAAAAATATCAGAAGTATAATAAGTTAATATAACACTAAACAGTAATACTACTAACAGTACGTACTCAGTAAAAACTAAAATTTTTGCTATTAGTAGTATTACTTAGTACGGGTAAGTCCAGAGATTGGAAGTGGCGTGATATCGAATTCTTGCACTGTTACAGCACTCGTGATACGCACGAATGATTTATATCAAAATACAAATTATAAAGTAAAATAAGCAATTGAGTACGTATTTGTAAATTGTAGGTTTTAATTTAAGTGTTACGATATAATATTAATAATGACAGGAACTGAGGTATAATAAACATATAAACTTTAGAAAATACATAATCGGTTTTCCCTACACAACATATGAAAGTATGTGACTAGTAAACACAATGTGACAGTATTCAATTTAATATAATGCTCTAGTTGAAACATACAATAAGTTTGCTTGATTTATTGGACAACAACTTTTACTGTATTAACAAAGTTTCATTAGTATCGTAGCTGATCTTAAACTGTAAGTTGCTCCATTCTTCTTGCATTGTTAAATAGCATTAATGCACCATCTAGCCAGAATATAATACAAGTTTCATACAGTCTGCAGATTAGAGTTGTATATGAACAATTAAAACAAAAACATTGATATGTATCAGTGTTGATAAAACTTTTAATAGTTTTTATCCATATATCGGAAAACGTTTCATTCCATACTTTCATAACATAAGCTTCTGTATTATGATGTTATCAAAACAGTGAATTGTATGTTAAGGAAACATTTTATTAGTTATGCTGTATTTTAAAATTTAATAAAATAATAGTTGTTATTGTTTTCAGAAGTCCTTTTATTTATGAATTTTATATCACATGGATGGAGAAATGACAGAAGACCAGAAAGCTTCCAAAAAAGAAAAAGACAGTCCAGTTAAGTATGTGAAACTGAATGTTGGAGGATCTCCCTTCTACACAACAAGGAGTACGCTCACCAAACGTGCATGTTTATTACGTGACATGTTCAGCGAGGAGGGGGATGTTTTCACAGATCCTCAAGGTAAGTGTGGATTAGTTCTCAATGTAACATACTGTTCTGTTAAGAGGTGTTTTTTTCAATGAATTACTTTCTCAGTTTGTATCTTGTGCTTCAGGATGGGTGATGATTGACAGATGTGGCAAACATTTTGGAACAGTGTTAGCATTCTTGCAAGATGGGTCTGTTTCTTTACCGGAAAGTCTACAGGAGGTGTCAGAGTTGTTGGCTGAAGCCAGGTATTATCACCTGCCAGGACTGATTGAACAGTGTGAGCTAGCACTGCAGAGGCAAGCATTGGTCGAAGAATCTACTTGTAGGATTCCCCTGATAACATCCACCAGAGAAGAGCAACAGCTTGTCACTCAATCCACAAAGGTATTGAGACTGTTGAGATTTAAAACTCATTACCAATTAATATATAAAACTCCCATTAGTCTTCTTTCATCTAATCTTCTCATCTTGCATTTTTTTGGGATCATTGACTGTTACAAAAATAAACATTAAGTGTCAGTGCTTGGGGGTGGGTTATTGAGAAAGTTATTATTTGTTGAGTCACTTCAGAATTGTTTGCATCTGAGCCTTTAAAGATTTGAGCTAAACTCATAGCTCATTAGTAGTTCAAAGTTTCTTTCTCTAACCTTCTTTTTTATCTCTTAAGTTTCTGTGCTGTTAGATATTAATTAGGTGCAGAGATAAAATTAATACTTTCCAATTTAGAACTCTTATTACATTTTTTGTTGTCCAGCAATATGGAAAGGCTCTGGATAACCCCAAACTGATTGTAATAGAAGAAAGAGTAGATTAAGTAGGTTTAAGAGCAGGGTTCTGATATAATCTGTTTCTGAAAGGTGTGATATATTCCACACGAAACTGATTATTTAATAGCTTATGTCTACAGAAGAGAAAAGCACCGTAGAGTAGGGAATACTTAAAATCTGAGCCTATATGATTCAAATAGGTCAAGTTAAAGTTGGTTAATATTGGTAATAAATTGTTTTACAATAATAATAATAAAAAAAAGAAGCCTTAAGCCTAATAATTATGTTACCATCCATAATGGTAGATCTACACTCTGAATATGTGATTGTGAACATGTTTGCATGTATTCAGAAAGTCATAGTGAACTACCTGTTTCAGAAAGGCTTATTTGTACTTATTTTCTGGGAATATATTCCCTTTGTTGAGTTTTATGTGGGACTTATAAACTGAATAATTTTCCTCGTTTGTTATTGCAATTGTCGTAAACAGTATCAACACTTTTCTTATATATATTAAAAGTTTATCAGGTGTTGTTTGATCTGCAACTCAAAACTTCGATCATTGTAGCTTTTTTTTTAATAGACTATTTACTGGATTTGGATCTTAAAATGGAATATCTGGTAACTAATCTTTTTTTTTCTTTTCAGCCTGTCATTAAATTACTGATCAACAGACATAACAACAAATATTCTTATACAAGGTAAGGCTAGTAAAAATAGTTGTTAAAAAGAGAGTTGAATATTACAAGCTCAAAAGAGAACTTGTACATTTGTACTATAAGAAATAGTATCACGTGATTATTACACGCCAACACACACATTAAAATGTGTATTTTGTACTTGTAAATACGCACAGTGTACTTTTCAATTCAAGTTGTCCTCGAAAGGTTTATTAGAGTTGAGCAGAGCATATAACAAAACTTAGTTTAGGCTTTTTGAGAATTATTCTAGTTTCTCAAACAAGTAGTAACTATCCCTGTTTTTAATTGTACTTTTTTCTAAGTCTGATATAGAGGTATCTTTACAAACAAGTGTGAAAATGATGGCAGTAATGGAGTCTCACACCTTGAGAGTTTAAGAAGCAAAAATAATAAATTCCTCAAAAACAAAGGATGTTTAATTTTTACTTGGAAGTGGGTTTGCAGGGACAGCCTGGAGAGACCAGATTGTCCAGTTTTATCCGTATGTTAACAACTTCATAAAGGAGCTAGAATATACAGGGTGACCCAACGAGAGATACCTCACTGATTTATTATGGGAAGAATATAATACACTAAAGTTTTTGAACAACCATATTTCATTTTGTTTTTAGATGAAATATGATAAGATGATTCCCTGTTTAATGCTGGAGAAAAGGAAGAATTTGGGGACTTGGATAGAAGTTTATGGTTCAGTTGCATACATGCAGTGTTTGTTTCAAGAGACATTTAGATGTTTCTTCCCTTCAGTGTAAAACTATTCACAGATTACATAAAACATTCAGTGAAACCAGATCTGTTTGAACAGCATCTAGTAAATCTGAACATCCTGTATGCTCTGAGTACAGGATGTCCTGCTGAACAGCCACCAGAAATCCATCCAAAGATGAGCAACTCTGGAAGTGTACATATCCTATGGGACTGTGCCCTGGATCTGTCATGATGATCTGAACATGAGAGCTTACAATATTCAGATTCTGCATTAACTTAAGAACAGATTTTTTAAAATGAGTGCAAGCATCACAAGATATTATTGCCACATTAGGATTTGAAAAGATAGAGTCACCGTTGTTCTTTTCGGATGAGCCAACATTTCAACTGTATGGTTGTGGCAGCAAACGTAACTTTGTGATATGGGAACACAGTAACAAGTTCATGAGTGTGAGCATACATGGGACTCTCCCAAAATTAACGTGTGGTGTGCATTGTCTTGTGAACATTTGTGTGTGTGTGGGGGGGGGCATTCTTTTTCCCAACTGATACTGTCAGTAGTGAGGAATACTTGACACTGTTGCAGGAGTTTTTTATTCCAATTCTATCTCAACTTAGGATACCTAACCATGAGGTTCATTTCCAGGAGGATGGTGATCCATGAATGATTATCTGACATGTTTCCATGCTTCATAGGCAGAAATGGCCCAATGAAGTGTGTTCCTCGTTCACCAGATTTAATCCCACTGACTTGTTTCTGAAGGGTTACATTAAAAACAGAGTGGATGTCAAAAAACCTGGACAGTCAATGAACTCACAGACAGAATTATTCACTGCTGCAGGCAGATAACTCCTGAGATCATGAGGAGAGGGTATCCTGAAACATTTACCGGAGTTGAGAAGTGCAATGAAGTTGCTGAAAGACATGGGGAAGCTTAAAACTGACATTGTTACAAGCCAGGTGTTCTATTTCAGTAATGTTTATTTGTTTCATTAGTGTATTATAGTCCTTCCATAAGAAATCAGTGCAATGTCTCTAGTTGGATTACGCTGTGTATCATAACTTAAAACCTTTCAAATGAAATGTTCTTGGAAATTTTTATTGTATTTTCCATACATTGTAAAAATCTAATAAAAATGTTTATTCTAACGAAACTAAAGCAAAGACATTTTATTAATTATTTTTGCTTTTATAAAAGTTTGAGGACATAACCTTAATTTGGGCCTTTATAAACATTCTACAGGTCGTACGGAATTGGTCCTAATTTTGCATGTTATGCTTTACCGTCCGTAAACTGTGAAGTCTGTGTGTGATTAGTATGTAAATATATTCAGCAGAAGATTAGGGTCAGTTTATGTATTCATTACTTTTTTGAAGAAAAATAGAGGTACACTTTGTTGCATAAAATTTGTAAAGTGGTTTACTTTATAATTGAATTATGCACTATGACGTATGACCACATTAAAATTCATGCAGCACAATCTTTGGATCACTAAACCAGAATCTTTGACAAGTTCACTGTACTGTGTAGTGGTCTGTCGAGGGCTCTGGAATATGGGCTGAAAACTTGTAATAAGTAAAAGGTTTACACGTGGCGAAATTCCTAGTATATCATTTAAATCAAATACAGGTTTTCTCAGATTTCTCCAAATTTGCATGTAATATTTTCTTTCTTGAACTTGTTCTAGGCCTTTACAAGATATGTCTGTTTTTTTTTGTTTTTAATTTCACCATTTAAGAAACAAAACAACCTATTTAGTGCAGTAATACCAGGTATGAGAATGGAATACTTTTAGTGAGAATAAATGGAATTTCATAAACATAAGTTTATTTTTGGCTTTTTAAAAACACAAATGTATGATACTTACAGAAACGAGATACCATAAACATTTTAATTCAAAGAATAGGGATTCTTAATAAATTATATTTGTTGAGCATGAAAGTTCGCTTATAATTCTCATCTTCCAGTATGTCAGATGGTAATCTTCTCAAGAATCTGGAGTTTTTTGATGAACTCTCACTGAAATTCAGCAGATGGGCACTCTTTGTTAAAGATGTGCTGGGCAGTGGGGAAATCTGTCAGTGGTCGTTCTATGAACACGGTGGTAAGATGGCTAGCCAGTTGTGTTGTACGTCAGTAGTGTATGCTAATGGGAAGAAGCACACGAAGGTGAGTATTTAGCTGAACAACATGTATTAGTTCAGGATATTATTAACGAACATAGTTGAACTAAAATCTACAAATGCACACGTAGTTTAGCGATGAAAAAACCTGAGAGAGGTAAGATACAGTTGGAACTGCTAGTGGGTAAATGGATATGATATTTTATGCAGTACTTATACCTTGATCTATTTTGACTTATCTGTCTAAGTTACACCAAAGTTCTGCTGTATTTTTTATGTTATGCAGTACTTATACCTTGATCTATTTTGACTTATCTGTCTAAGTTACACCAAAGTTTTGCTGTATTTTTTATGTATTTGTTGCAGATTTTACCCAAAATAATTCATTTGGTCAAATTTACAGGTTATCTTGAGGTCAGGGGAAGGTCGAAAGGACTTCGCTGCGTATTTTTCTCCTTATATTTAAGCACTGTAGCTTATGTAAACTCGGGTTTTGATGTAGGCTCGTAGAGTGGGTAATATATGTTTATTAAAATGTAAAAGCAAATTTTTTTCTTTCATGTAATTGTGTTTTGGTCACAGGTTTTGCAGCTGTTAAAGAAACTTCACTGATACAACATCAAAACTGTCTTGAAAACAAACAGTGCACCTTAGAACGTGCTAATTAGTGTGAAAAATTAAAAAGAAGAAATAGTCTCATAATAGTTCATCATCATCGTCATCTCACATGACAGGAATGTAGGTTGTTTAGACCAGGGGATCACAGTAATTAAGAATATCTGCGTGATACTTCATACAACACATTTTCTTTGGGCTGAAGTGCACCGAGGAGATGTATTAGAACAAAAGAACATCATACTGATACAATATTGTGCAATAACAAAACATCTGTTGTAGTTGAACATGGATGTTGAATTGTGTAGGAAGACTCTGAAATTCTTGGACAAAACAATGATATTTCATTTGCTTTCAGAGTTAAAATTTACAATCAACGTTGTGAGTGAAATAAGTAGAAATTCTACTCTTATGTCATGAACACTTGTTTGTTGTAAAGACAATACGAGCCATGCATGTCGTACTTGAAGGACTTGCAAAGTATATATCTGTAAGGGCTAATGCCGCGTAAAACATCTGTTTGCTTTAGTAAGATGTTTGATAGACAAAAACCTTGTGATCACTTCATTGTGTTGCACAAGATAAACACGTGAATATAGTTATGAATGTTTGAATTTTTGGTATTGCATAAAGTAATAAATGTAGAAGTAATTAGAGAGGTAAAAGCAAGAAAAATTTTATTTGGAATAGATTGTGCAGTAGTTTTGAACTTTAATGACTAATGCTCCTTTTTACTAATTACAAATTAAAAGTTTACCTGTTTATACACACTGTTTAGACATTAAACAGTTTAGCTGTTTATACACATTGTTTAGACATTAAACAGTTTACCTGTTTATATACACCAGTTAGACATTAAACAGCTTTCCTGCTTTAACACATCGTTTAGACATTAAACAGCTTTCCTGCTTTAACACATCGTTTAGACATTAAATAGTTTACCTCTTTTTACACATTGTTTTAACATTAAACAATTTACTTGTTTTAACAAGCAGTTTAGACATAAAACAGTACCTGTTTATACACTGGTTACACATTAAACAGCTTACCTGCTTTAACACATCGTTTAGACATTAAATAGTTTACCTCTTTTTACACATTGTTTTAACATTAAACAATTTACCTGTTTTAACAAGCAGTTTAGACATTAAACAGTACCTGTTTATACACTGGTTACACATTAAACAGCTTATCTGCTTTAACACATTATTTAGACATTAAACAGTTTACCTGTTTATGCACACTGTTTAGACATTAAACATTTACCTGTTTTTACTCATTGTTTAGACATTAAACAGTTTACCTGTTTTACACAATGTTTAGACATTAAACAGTGGACTTGTTTTTACACACTATTTAGACATTAAACAGTTTTCATGTTTATGCACACTGTTTAGACATTAAACATCTACCTGTTTTTACTCATTGTTTAGACAGTAAACAGTTTACCTGTTTTACACAATGTTTAGACATTAAACAGTTTACTGTTTTTACACACTATTTAGACATTAAACAGTTTTCCTGTGTAGACATATTGTTTAGACATTAAACAGTTTACCTGTTTTAACAAGCAGTTTAGACATTTAACAGTTTACCTCTTTTTAAACACTGTTTAGATATTAAACAGTTTACCTATTTTTACACACTCTTTAGACATTAAACAGTTTACCTCTTTTTACATATTGTTTGAAATTAAACAGTTTACCTGTTTTAACAAGCAGTTTACACATTTAACAGTTTACCAATTTTTACACACTCTTTAGACATTAAACAGTTTACCTGTTTATACACATTGTTTAGACATTTAACAGTTTACCAATTTTTACACACTCTTTAGACATTAAACAGTTTACCTGTTTATACACATTGTTTAGACATTAAACAGTTTACCTGTTTTAACAAGCAGTTTAGACATTTAACAGTTTACCAATTTTTACACACTCTTTAGACATTAAACAGTTTACCTGTTTATACACATTGTTTAGACATTAAACATCATTTTATACATCACTAAAGTGCAAGTGTTTGAAATTTGAGAAAGGCTATGATCCACTTTTCAGTTGGTTTTATTTATTCATCTGAGTTTTCAACCATAAACAGTGTTACTTACTTAAATCTTAAAGAACGTTTTAACCTGGTAAATAACAGAAAATCTCTTAAAACAGTGCTTCATTGAAGAGATCAAGTTCTGTAAGAGCATGGTTAAATTTCTGTTTTGTAGTTACGTTAATTTTCAGATGGATGTTTGGTACCATTTGATAAAACATATCAACAACTATGGCATGATAAGCAAGCAAATGTATGTGTGAATAGGTCATAATCTATTCTTATTGGCAGAAAAAAAATGGAAACATTAAGAAAGCTATTTTAGTTATATATTTTGATTAGTTAAAACTGAACTTGTAACTTGAAGTTACTTAAAACATGTAATGTAGACTAAGATCAAAGGGAATCCATTCCAGGAGTACTGATAATTTGTTTTTATGTCCAATATGCACACTGACAGACAGTGCTGTTTCTTACACAGATTGGTTAATTTTTTACTTACTTAAGACTATAACTGATTTGTGTAAAATAAAACTGTAAAATAAGTATCTATCTATCTTTTCATTTATCAGTTTAAATGTAAGCAACCTTTTTTATTACTAGACTGCATGTCAAAATATGAACAATTTCTATTGTTTGTAATTTATTCTTACCATATTGATATGTAAATGAAATCTTCCTGTTTAAGAAAAAACAAAACAAATCTGTGAATTCCAGGTTACGTTTGACCAGTCCAGGATTTACACAGATGTGTGTGTCCTACTGCTGCGAGAAAATCCAGCTGACCAGGAAGTTCACCAGGCTACTGGTTTCAAAGCACCGACAGTCTCGACCACAGTGACTAGTGAAGAGGAGGATGAACATCCTTCTAATAGAGAGGGGAGAGAGTCAGGTCACCTAAGAAGAATGTACAGTACACGACAAACTTCATGAAAATTATAGAGAAAAGAGTAGTTAGTTATAATGGAAGGGTTGTTGAATGGTTCATATTCTGATTGCATAATGCCACTATTTGCAAAATAATGAAAGGTTTAAAAAACGAAATCCACCTCTGTATTTTAGTTGTGTTTCAATATTCATAAGCCTTTTCTTTTTTTTGCAAGAATTGAAAATATCTCCCTCTCTCATATGTGACTATTAAGTACATCAGAGATAGATTTTGTTCCACATTATTTATATTGATTTTTTTAAACAATATTTATATGTTAATAAACTTTTGAAGTCATGGAAGTGGATTTTACAAATTCTAATATGAATGTATTACTTTGTGAATTAAATGAAACTTGGTATTAAATTGGTCATAACTGACAGAAAGACTTGAAATTTTTGTGTAAGCTGAATTTCACTTGTTAGCCTTAAAAGTATGCTGATACTTTTTATATATACATTTAAAATATAAAATTCTAGTTTTATTTTCATATCTTTAAGTGCTACACATTGTTGTCAGCTTTCATTTTTTCAGTATCAGGAAGAGTATTGTATAAAAATGTATTTATAATTCCTCAACTTTACTACAGTATAATTATTTACCCAGCTGTAATTATAAATAAATAAAATGATCATTGACTCCTGAGAATCTTACAATAAGACTACTTGTAAAACATTCTATGTAGTTCATGGTTGTTTTATTTATTTGTAATTATGTGTACTTATGGTCCAGTCAGCATTAAGTAAATTAAAAAATTTAAATATATTTATTCTTCCATTAATGATTGAAAGGTAAACTTGAAGCTTCATTTAATACTTCAGATGAAGCATTTTGCTGGGACAATTTACCATTTTTTATTCAAGATGAAATACACTTAATAAAAATACTAAAAAATAAGTATTTTTTTCAGATATTACTCGCATGTGCAAGTAATTATAATTTCATTTGTAATAAAAAGATCCAATAACCTGATTGTTTTCAAAACGTTGAAACTTTAATTATTACTGAATAATCTGATTATTTTCAGTTAGATAAATCTCTAATTATAATCCAATAATCTGATTACTTTAAGAAAGATAAACCTTTAATTATATCTGAAGAATCTGATTATTTTCAGAAACATAAAACTTTAATTATAACTGAATAATCTGATTATTTTCCGAAAGATAAATCTCTAATTCTAATCCAATAATCTGATCACTTTAAGAAAGATAAACCTTTAATTATAATCCATCAATCTGATTACTTTAAGAAAGATTCTCTGATAAATCTCTAACTACAACCCAGTAACCTGAGTGCTTTCAGAAATACTTCCATAACTGTTAAACCTTTTAACTACAACCTAATAACCTGATTGCTTTCAGAAAAATAAACCTTTAATTATAACCCAATAACCTAAGTGCTTTCAGAATAATTTCTGTCTCTGATAAATCTAACTACAAATTAAGTATTTTTGTCTTTCTGTACCCTTTATTAAAGATACATAGAAATGTTTTATGAAAGTAAGAAATAAAGTAATTAATTTTTTTAATTTCATATAATTGCTTCTTTCTGAATTATAATGTACTGTAGGTTAACTCAGTTGTATATAAAGATTTTTTGCATTAGTTTATTTTTTCAAAGTCTTTTTTTGTCTTTGTTGTGGAATATTCAGTTTAGTTAAATCTTAATGTAAAAAAATATCTATAGCTAAATAAGATAGAATATGCTATTGGTTAATGATATTAAACAGTTTAACAGTTACTGTTTATTAGTTTCTTGACTTTGCAAAGACCACAGATTAAACACATGGTCACTAATTTTATTAATCTTTCTTTATTGATGAAAGTTATTTTAGTAAAAATCTTGGGTAGTTAATGTCCTATTTCAGACCATGTTTGGAAGTGCTGGGAGGGAGATCCAGTGGATTCAGACCTTAATCATATGGTAAAATCCTTCCCTTTTATGTAAAGTAGGGAAGTATTTGTTCAAATTATTGTCTTATGAATAGGAATAATTAAAATATGTTTCTGATTTTTCCAGAGGAAACCAGTTTATTAACGCATAAAATAAAACAAATAATAATGGGATGAGATATTTTGTCTGCATCCCGTAGTGAAGACTTAAGTACTTAAGTTTCATTATTATTAAATTGTACATTTAGACAGTTGGGTTTATTGTAGAAAAATTATCACTTTCAATTTTCTGGTCATTCTAATTTTTTTTTATAAAACTGGAAGAAAAACTTTAAAAATCATCCTTATTTTTTCTAATATAGATCGTATCCAACTCTATCATATCAAATTTTTTGATATTGTATTACAAATTGTATTTTACCCTTGCTGAAGGAACTTAATAACTATATTCACATGCAGAGCATTGATTTTAATAAAGAATAATGTATACCAATAAAAAATTTGATTAACTGCAGTAGCAACTATTTAAATAAGTAAGTTTTATATTGTTTTAATGTTCATACTAAAAAATTAATGTAAGCCCAAAATATACATTTATAATATTTGTTTTCTAGAAAGTCCACCTAGTGGTAAGTCTATTTTTATTTCTTGTTATAGGTGATGACAAAACTAATGTCAGTAAGTTTGTTAGGGGTTTTTAAATATTGTAATATAGTTAGTAGCTTGTCATAATTATTATTATTTTCCTACAGCATTAAGAAGTTGAAAAATAACAATTATATTTTCCAACACAGTTGATTTCTATTTCTTAAACTTTTTTTTTTTTATGTTAGCGTTATGAGGAAGAGCTGGAAATCTTATGGGTTGATAAAACCTTATATTTTAATGTGGTAATTCAGCCTGTAAAGAATTGTATTATTTAAATTAATTGTTTACTTAAATCATTCCAGTTTTATTTATGATAATTATTTTTCAATTAATGGGCTGCTGAAGACTGAAATTTTCCATTAGAATGTACAAGTAAATGCAATGCGTCTAGCTTTAAGAAAATCAAAGCAGCAATTTTTTTTGTTATTGCCAAAATGTCTGCTTGAAAAATATGGTTTAAATGTATTTGAGCTCGATTGAAGTGATAGGCACCCAAAGTTAACTGTAAATTTTTTTGTAATTTGTAAACTTTTTTACAAAAACCTCTTTC